CTGGAGCATGCCAACAAGGACTTGTGTGCAGGGAACTCGTTTTCTTTCACTTTCAGCAAAATATCGCACAGAAAGCCCTCTGATCTCAGGCTCTGGTACTGGGCAAGCACAGCAGTGCAGTGTGCTTTGCAGTAGGACAGGAAGTAGCTCATGGTAGACGATGCAATGCTTTCCCCTTGAGTTATTAGAACTAAAATGCAATTAGTTATTGAAACAGCTGCCTTACTCAACAGCCATTCCTTGAATGCCCAGCAGAACTCCAGTTGTTAGAGAAAAGACCAACCAAAAAAAAACCCAAAAAACTTCAGTCTCTTTCCTGGCATAGGGGGACAGTTAGTAGATTTGTAGTGAATTCAATGCATTCCTTTATAGAAAAAACAGCTGAATGTCATAACAGCTGCAGGATGCTTACTGTTCTCGCCTCCACAACTTGTGCAAGGATGAAGAGTCCGCAGTTCTGCTGAGCACTTGCTTGGCTGGCCATCAGGTAACAGATGAGGGAGCTAGATGACAATCCCAATAAATGGCCCTTCGTGTCTGCTCAGTCGTGGCCCCCGACCCTTCTTGCTCCACAGGCAGATCAAATTGATCCTCTGGCTGCCAGCGCGTGGCTCTGAGCAGACACAGATGAGAATAGAGTTCCTTGCTTTTCTCCTCTTGTTTGTGTTTCAAACTCCGACCAGTTTAGACCTCGCCACCCCTGGGACAGGAGTCCCTTTTTCATTCTCTTTTCACAGTGTCTTGCGAAGCCTCAGCTGAAGATCAAATCAGTGCCCAGGGATTATTACGGCAGCATTTTCTGAGCCCATAAATCTCTCTCCGGCAGGCAATAAGAAAACCAAAATACTGTGATTAGTCACTGGTTCGATTTGACATGCATTTCTGGGCTCTCTGCTTCACGTGACACCTCCATAACTCACAGCTACCAGAATAGCCACAGGCTCATCCCCTCGTCCCCTTGCCCAGGGGCCAACCCCGGGCGGGTCCGGGCGGGCAGACGAAGGAGCTTCCACTGACAGCCACTGCCAAAGCAGCTGACTTGGAATGACCTGGCTGGAAATCACAAGGGTAACACATTCGCACAAAGTGGTGACAAAAATAGATTGCCCCAGTTCAGCCATAATAAACCAAAATCTGTTTATAGAGGAGGCTTTGCATAATTGTGCTCTCAGTTAACAGCTGGGAACAAACCCGGAGCCCCCAGGGATGGGCTGGCACTGTCTCGCTCAGCTTTCTCACTTTCAGTTTGTCCCAATTAGAAATACTTACACAGGGATTATCCCTGATTTTCACCTGGGCACTTTAGGGTCTAATTTCTACCAGGAATAGTAGCTCTGGGCAGGCTACACATTCTGACATCTTAAAGCTTGCTTTTATTTTTTCTTTTTTTCCCCTGCATAACTCTCGGTGCAGATGTTCAGGAATCTCCTCTAGACACCTTTCTTTCCAAATCAAACACCCTCAGGACTTGCAATACCTTGCCAGGGTTTATAAATGGCAGATCAGTTCTCTGCATCGTGAGCTAGCAGACTTGGGGGCAAAAGAGGATCCCACAGGACTGAAAAAATACTGCCTTTCGCTCAAGTCCAAGGTAAAGCCTTTTTACTGTGTTTGCTTATGTTTCTTTTTGTGGTTTCATGAAATTCTGGCTTACCCCTGTAATCAAGGGGTGTTTGAGAGCTGACTAGATCCTAATGTGGATTGTGCATGCTGTATGACTGTTCTAGTGAGCTTGAACTGTCTTGCTAAGCAGACTGACACCTGCACATGCTCTGCTCTGTTTGTGGGGAAGGACTCCCAAAACATTGTTCTTTATTGCTGTATAGCTCTGAACATTGAATTCCTGCTTGAATCCACTTTCTATCACGGCATTATAGATCATAAATAAGGATTTTGCTAAATCCTCCCCTTTGCTAGCAAAATGACATGTACGGGCAGTAGTGATGAAGGAGAAAAGGAATGCTGGTTTCTTATTCCCAGTGGTTTTGCCTATGTCCAAGTAGGGACAACACTAAGATATTTCAGATGTTAGCAAAGCTGTGCAAACAAGCTTATGCTTGATGCTTTCCTATGTTGGAGGTGGAGACCAGAGACCAGGTACCTATGTCACCCCCCTGAGCAATCATATGTCCTCTGATGAGGGGCCAGGCCCTAAATGCTCCCACTCCTAGAGCTACTGCTTTCCCCAGTTTAACCCCATAAGGTACCAGATTTCAATAACACGAGGTGCAGATAAACCTCTGCTGTTTTCAAGCAGCAGGCAGGTGCTGTGCCATCACAGTTTCCCTGGGAGCCTGGAGGTGAGGCAGGGGAGCAAGGGGGCTGCACCTGCTGAGCAGGGCTGAGTTTGAGGAGTGTGTCTGCAGCAGTTCTGGCATACGCCCCTCCCGGCATCACCTCCTCATCACCAACAGCCTTTATCCTCTATCAGCCCTTCAACCTGTGCTGCCATGACCACTCTGAGGTGGGGGGTAGGGAGATGGCATAGCCAGGAAGTGATGCACAAAGAGGAATGAGGAAAATCCAAGAATAGAACAGCAGAGAGGTCTCTGTGGCCCAGGTCAGGCCCTCAGCCTCCCTCACTGTGTGACCTCCCAGGCAGATGCCCCAACCCACAATGCAGCAGAGGTGACCCACTGTCTGGGCAGCTGGCTGGGGACCCACCACAGGGAGAGACCCTTGTCACGGGACACTCATCTGATGCACAGAAACCAGGCTGGTCTTCTACTTTTGAGCCATGGCCAACAGCTCTCCAGAGCTGCTAGAGTGTGTATGCTGGTATTGCACAGTAGCTGGGACTGAGTACACACAATGAAATCCTACTTCCTCTAGATCCAGTTGTATAAGAAAGAGGTCAGATGTATGCCTTGGCCAGCTGAGGGTATTGCCAGCAGCAGCCAGTATCAACTGCCCCACCAAATGATTCACTCCCAGGCATTGTGCCTCTTCCTCACCCTTTACAAGTGCCAGCAAAGTTGGTGTAAGGTTGGTCAATGCCTGGCCTGGCCTTGCTAAGTGCCAGCACAGCTCCAACCACAAGCTCTGTCATTTCAGAGAGGCCAAATGATGCTCAGTCTGAACTTCCCTTCCTGTGCCCAGAGTGATGCTGTGTTAACCAAACCCATTGTGCATCCCTTGCTTTCCAAATGAATTCCGTACATGGGCTGCCATTTCTACAGGTCAGCGCTGATTTCACTGTACTGATTTAATGAACCAATGCTGGATAAGCAGGTCCTATAATTGTATGCTATGTTGTGCTATTCCCTCTCAGACCTGCTTCATCTTCATGGCAAGCTGGCTAATAGAAGTAGTGAGAATCATGATCCTTATAAAGCTGTTTATTTGTTCTGGAGATTTTTTTTTTCTTTGGCTTATAATTGAAATAAAGCCACATCCTTTCCAGTCCCCTGCTCTAGAGTGACAAAGAAAAAGATTATCATTATCAAAATGAGGTTTTTCCCTGCTCCACTTTCAGGCAGTTAGCCTTGTTTAACTAGGGAGCCTGCTCAGCCAAGACGCCCCTTTTGTCAATAGATAAATTATCTTCAGGCAGCAGCTCAGCTCCTCAGCACCTTTGGAGGAATATTTAATGTCCATTAGTAAGAGAGCAGACAGTGACTAAACAGCTAACTTAAGGATCTCAGCAAGAGACCTGACACGAGGTGGGATACAGTCAAACCATATTCTTATTCTCCTCGTCTGTAATTTGGAAGATCAGATCTAATGTTTGACTCACTAGATGGTGCTTAAAATTAGGAAAATATTAGTCTTTCAATGATGTTGATTTGTTGGGAATAGATAATACATTTTTAATCATGTGTATCATTTAGAGTTTAAATTAGATTTGGACTTCAGGCTTTCAGTATATTTTTTGTTCAAGTCATTGCTCTACTGCAGTAGGAAGTCTGCAATGAAAAAGAGTATTCAGAGGTGTGCTGTGGAAAATGTTGGCTTCCATGTTTGCAGTTATTTTTTTCCTAAACAAAGCTGAAAAATAGCCCAAATTGCAATGACGTGTTCAATTTAATATTGCAAGTAGGCCATCAGTTAATAAACAATTCAACTACCATTGTAAATTTC